ACAGCATTGTTTTGCATTGGCGTGTGCCCCATAAACGTATTTGTTCATGGTTCGCAAAGTTTTTTACTGGATTTTCCCGTTCCTAATCCTTTTTTTTTCTATCGTTTTTGTTAAATTTTTGAGTTATTCCGAACTGAAGCTCTTTTGCAAAATCCATTCCCACTCTCTGATCTTGAGAACAGAAGTTCAAATCCACCCCGACAATCGAAAGCGAATTTGATATCGGAGAAAGGGATAATGCTAATTTTGCATGTATGGCGTGCTAACAAAACGAACTTGGAGATGTTGAGCAGGAATTTTATCTCATTATTAGCACAAACATACATTCTTTACGCTAATTTCCCTAGACAGCCCTGGTATTTTTGGTATTTTACGTATTTTTGCAACATTTGAGGGCACTGGTAATTCCAAACAGATAAGAGAACGGGAGTATTTGCCTATTGCATTTTTTGATTCTAATAAAATAAACGATTATTTACAGCTTCTCTTATCAGTAACTGATAAATTGCAACATTTGGAATGTACTGCTAACAGGAAGCAATTAATTGCTGGGCAATGTAGTAATTTTCAAGTTGGTGAGAAAAATTTCAGGAATGTTTGAAGCAAAATGCAGCGTTTGGAGATACGGAGATAAAGCTGCATTCCAGTCGTGTGAAACATCAGCGCCACCAGTTCGATATGGAAGTTGGCAAACATCGTGTCTCGGTGATATGCACAAATAAACGCGAAGGAAAGCAGAAAACATCACAAGCAATGCTCAAAAAACTTCATCCCAATGTTAGCTATCTTTTATCCACTGTTTCTGCTGAGAGATTTCATGAATTCAATCGTTTTTTTAAAATAGCAGCTACCTATAGACTGCAACGGTGAAAGGCTGTTTTCCTCACAACTAAAGATTGCTAAATTAGCCTTCTTGTTTTTAGATTTTTTTACAAAATTTAGAATTTTGCAAAAAGTTTAATTAAATTAAATTTGGCAAAAAAAAATCAGAATTCCCTCTGCTTTCTCTGAGAAGGACGGGAGTACTCAGAAGTAGCCTAAGCGATAGCTCTGAGTAGCAGCAGCACCTTCTGGAGCAATCTCAATGGCTTTCCTTTTTGAGGTTTGCTTATATGCAAGTTAATAGCGGGTTTGACAACTGCCAGGGCTGATTCCCCGCCATCGTAAAAAATCGAAAATTGACTGGTTATGCCGCTGACCCGGAGTCGAACCTTCGAAATTCACTAATTTGCCCAAAATGTTGAAAATGAAAAGTGGTGGTCATTGTTGCTTTATTGGTATTTGGGCTCGAATTCGAATTTTTTATGAGTGTAGGAGAAATCCCGGCCTAACAGTGGGGGTATTTAGTGTTACTGATGTTATCGTGACACTGCCACAGGCCCCACATAGCTTTCCAGGCCCTTCGATACTTTCAGTTAGTACCCACCGCCTGTTCGATACATATGCTTGGGAGAAGTACCAAATTTAAAAATTAATTATAATTTTAGCAAGACAAATGAGCCTTCTCATTTTTGAAATGAAACCAAAATTTCGTGAATTTTAGTTGAACACATGGGGCTCTCTGCTACGTCTTTATGGCCATGAAACACAACAAAAGCAACAGGAAGCTCGAAAGAGTCGACATAGCATCATCAAATTGCAAGGTGTCCACTTTATTATTATTTTTTTCGTTGTTTTTCCAAATTAACCCATTTTGTCGATGTCAGAGCAGTGGGTAAAGATCAAATTCTTCCACATCTTACTCCCAGTGAAAGCGTTAAAATAGTTTATTATCAGTAAAACTGCTTTGCAGGAAACGTAAGCAAAGATAGCCCGGCTGTGGAGCCAAATACTGCGATTTTGGAGAAGCTGAAAGCAGAAATGTTGAAATTGGCTAAGCGAAGGCAAAATGAGGGTGAGCCGGTGCCCAAACGTCCAAAGCTATCGTATACGCATGAACCCGTTTTCGAACCCGAAGCAAGCACTGCGTCTGCAAGCTATGCAGAATCTCATCCTGATGCGGCCTCTTCTTCAAGAATTGATTTGTAATAAGTTATTATAAGCTTAAAAGCACGCTTGCCCAGCAATTGAACCCAAATTGGGAGATATTTCTTAAATAAGACTTGAAATATTTAGGTTAAATGTAATCCCGATCCTCCAGCTATGCATTTAGCAGCTTTTCCAGTTTTTTTTTTGAACAGTGCTGTCTCGGATGGTGGTCAATATGTTGATGATTTGGACAGTTTTTTAAAAGAATTACCATTTGGACGATTTTTACAATAGAAACACAAGCTTTCGCCGTTTTTTCGAGATGTCACTAGTGTATGTTGAGCATCATTAACTCGTCCCGGAGCGGTGCCAACTCTAGATCACGATGAGGGGTCTCTTAATGGCCCTGAACATTTTATCCGATATTACAGCACTTAATGAGCTGTTAGCTTATTATGCAATGTGCTTTCTAGTCGTTTATCTAGTCATGGGCTGTCATACTTCTCATTCATCCATCTTTGTTACTTCGATAAGCTGCCGTTTCATCGTAACGCATTTTTGCATCATCAGCATATGCATCAATTTTTATGCGCAACTACTCAAACTCGGCTCATCTCTGCTCGACCACCCAATATGCACTCGTTTTTATGTGTTTTTGAGCCCGGATTCGAGCTGCGGAAATCATGGTATCGAGTTTTTTGGATTTTGGTAGGATTCTAGGCAGCGCGTTTAAAATTGCTAACTTTTCTCTGGCATCAAGTTTCATGCGGAGCGTGAAAAACCCACAGAGATCCACCTCTGTTCTTCAGTACCTACCTCCAGCTAAGCCCTCAGCTCCTTTTCAGTCAGTAGCCCCTTTCTTCCATTCTCTTAACCCCTTTTGCCTCCCTCTTTCCCCTCCCCCTCCGCCCGCTCCACCACACAGACCTAAACCACCACCGCGGGCCCACACCCCGTTCCCGCTCTGGCTTACCCTCCTAATTCCCATTCCCAGTCATTGAAACTTGCCGCCGAACCCGTTCAAGCCAAGCCGAACTGAGTTCTAGTAGTTGCTGCGTTTGTGTGATGCTTTGCCCGAAACTGTACTAGTTTATAACCAGTCAGTTGATTATTTTCCCATAAAGTTTCCACCCATTCGTTTTTTCGGGTACGATTGCTGGGAATATCGCGCAGACTGCTGCTCACTTCACATTTTGATCTAATTCTTGGTAAATCGTGCTCCTCGTGTTTTTCCATTTTTACCGTCAAAATGGTAATATTTCGTCTTTTGCCACAGCATTCTGCATTTGGAAACAGACTTGTTCTTCCGAATGTGACTCGTATATTTGTTGGCCCATCGGCCATTCATTGTCCACCATTG